GAATGATAGAAAGATAAGAGAAGCAAATATTGCCACATGAGGAGGCGATCCAAATCCTAAATTTGGGCACTGAGGAAGATCGAAAGGAGGTTAAAATCGGCACAACTCTTTCGACTGAAGCAAGACAAAACCTGATAGTCTTACTTCAGGAATACAAAGATGTGTTCGCTTGGTCGTATCAAGACATGCCGGGACTAGACACAGATATGGTAGTTCACAAACTGCCAATCAAACCAGAATTCAAACCTGTGCAGCAAAAACTGAGAAGAATGCGACCAGAAATGCTCCTTAAGATCAAGGAAGAAGTCAAAAAGCAGTTTGATGCCGGTTTTCTTTAAGTGGCCAAATATCCGGAGTGGGTGGCCAACATAGTGCCTGTGCCGAAGAAAGATGGGAAAGTACGCATGTGTGTTGATTACCGGGACCTTAACAAGGCAAGTCCCAATGACAACTTTCCTCTGCCACACATAGACACTCTGGTAGACAACACAGCCGGGAACGCCTACTTTTCATTCATGGATGGATTTTTGGGATACAATCAGATCAAGATGCATCCTGAAGACATGGAGAAGACCACTTTCGTCACGATGTGGGGAACTTTCTGTTACAAAGTGATGCCTTTCGGATTAAAGAATGCTGGGGCAACATATCAGAGAGCTATGGTGACCCTGTTCCATGACATAATGCACAAAGAGATCGAGGTTTATGTCGAAGACATGATTGTCAAGGCACAGACCGAGAATGAACATGTCGAGAATCTGAGAAAGCTCTTCCAGAGATTGAGGAAATTCCAGTTACAACTGAACCCTAGCAAGTGTACCTTTGGGGTGACATCCGGGAAACTATTAGGCTTTGTAGTTAGCAGAAAAGACATGGAGGTTGATCCTGATAAGGTTAAGGCTATCCAGAGTCTATCTCCTCCACGAACACAAAAGGAGGTCCGAGGTTTCTTAGGAAGATTGAATTACATAGCTCGGTTTATATCTCAGTTAACTTAGAAGTGTGATCCAATCTTTCGCCTTCTCCGAAAAAACAGCCCTGGAGCATGGGATGAAAACTGTCAAAATGCATTTGAGAAGGTAAAAGAGTACCTGTCCCACGCTCCTATCCTGATGTCCCCTATCCCAGGAAAACCTCTGATCTTGTATCTCTCCATATTCGAGAGCTCCATGGGGTGTGTCCTGGGTCAACATGACGAGTCCGGGAAGAAGGAAAGAGCCATCTACTACTTAAGCAAGAAGTTCACCGATTGCGAGGTTCGATATCCTCCTATTGAGAAGGTTTGTTGTGCTCTGGTCTGGGCTACGAAAAGACTCCGACAATACATGTTGTACCACACCACTTGGCTGATTTCCAAGATAGACCCATTAAAATACATGATGGGTGTACATGCTCTATCCGGAAGGTTAGCACGATGGCAGATGCTTTTGTCTGAATTCGACATCGAATATGTGAGCCAAAAAGCCATAAAAGGAAGTGCCATATCGGATTTCTTGGCAAGCAGAACCGATGAGAACTGTGAGCCGCTGGACTTTGATTTCCCAGACGAAGACTTAATGGCTATATCTTTAGAAGAAGCAGACACTTCAACAGACCGTTCCTGGAGAATGCATTTCGATGGAGCATCAAATGCCTTAGGACACGGCATCGGAGCAATCCTGATCTCTCCGGAAGGGAGTCATTACCCATTTACCAGCAGACTAAACTTCGATTGCACCAATAATATGGCAGAGTATGAAGCCTGTGTCCTGGGAATTCGAGCTGCACTGGGGCAAAATATAAAAACCTTGCGGATATACAGAGATTCAGCCTTAGTAATCTATCAGCTCCGTGGAGAATGGGAAACCAAGGATACAAAGCTGATAGAGTACCGGAAGCTAATACTAGATATGCTCAAAGAATTCGATGAAGTCACCTTCCACTATGTACCAAGAGAAGAAAATCAAATGGCTGATGCCTTAGCCACCTTGGCAGCCGCATTCAAGACTGGCGGGGAATCTGAAATGACTCCGATTGACATGTAGTCGTACGAGTACTCGGCTCATTGTTACCAAACCGAGGAAGTGAAAGACACTAAGCCTTGGTATCATGACATTCTCCAGTACATCAAACATCATAATTATCCAGAAGAAGCCACCGAGACTGATAAAAGAACCATTAGAAGGATGGCAGCTGGATATGTCCTTGACGGGGAAGTCTTGTACAAGAAAAGCCATGATCAAGTCCTGTTAAGGTGTGTTGATGCAGAAGAAGCAAAAATGGTCGTGGAAGAAATACATGACGGAGTTTGTGGAACACATGCGAATGGACACATGATGTCAAGACAAATAATGAGATGCGGTTATTTTTGGTCCACACTGGAAAGTGATTGCATCAACTACGCTAGAAGGTGTCATAAGTGTCAGATTTACGGAGACAAAATAAATGTTCCACCCCATCCACTACATGTGATGACGTCACCTTGGCCTTTCTCTATGTGGGGCATGGACGTTATCGGGCAAAAACATCCTTATCGCGATCGTGGACGTAACAGATACTATCGCAGTCACTACGGGCATCGCGAACGTAAACTTTTTTTAAATTCGAACTTATTATAAAATATAGTAATTATAATTATAGAAAATCACTTTTAATGATTTTTAGAATATTTTGTAATACTTATAGATTTTTATTAATACATAAACATAATTTTTACCATCATTAATTATTTTTATATTTATTTATAAATTTCTTAAGAATATTATATTAACTCATAACAAATAAAAAAATATAAAAAAAAATTGAGTAAATAATAAGACCACCACAATTGAAGTCGACTTTTACTAGATTTCTCAATCTTGGATCACAACCCAGAACCCCTAATAATTATCATCAACAACCTTCGAGCATAAATAAGGAAACCATAAAATGGGAACAAACCTCTACAAAAACTAAAGGCATCACCATCCATTCTCATCAAATAAAAGGCCCCTCAGAACTCTGCAGCTACTGTCCAAGAGAATACCATCAATGCAACATTCGACCGATTAAAACAGCCGGCGAGGGGTTATCGAGACTAGGCCAACAGCATCAAAAGAGGCCAACCACAAGGCAGGCAGATACCAACGAAACAATAACAACAGAATCAAGCAACAGAGGGAATAGGACGATACAACACAACGCAAGTAGTACCCCAGAAACCTATCTACAATTATGCAGGATCTTCCACTGCAAATCAACCGATACCTATAGTCGAAGAGGAAGACGAAGCTCCTCTCGAGGAAGACGAAGAGGACCCATTAACGTGGATTAACGGGGAAAATAGTCTGTTATAGCCGCAATTGACCGTTACCCGTTAAATTGCGACCGTTATCGGCCGTTATGGGTGTGATTCCGTTTCACACCGTGATTTCGACTGATATCGGTAACGGGAGCCGCTGATTCCGCGATATAATGACCGTTATATCGTTACAGGACCATTTTTTGAATCCCTGACTGATCCTAGTAAAGTGGAAGCTATGCAAATTGGCCTCAACCTAAAACCCTTAAATCTCTTAGAGGGTTTCTTGGTCTAACAGGTTATTATAGAAGATTTATTAGAGATTATGGCATTATCAGCAGACCATTGACATTACTATTAAAAAAGGATGGCTTCCAGTAGAGTTCTACTACTTATACTGCTTTTGAAAATCTAAAGACATCTATGTGTACTGCTCCAGTATTAGCATTGCCTGATTTTTCTGTACTGCTCCACAAACATTATAGTACAAGCAGTGCAAGATATTATGACAAACAGAGAAATTATCATACAGTTGGTCAAACAATAGTTGGAATTAGCCAGCAATCGTACGAAACAACAAACAGATAAAAGCATAACAGAGAGGGTTTTTCAGGTGAGAGATATGGTTTACCTGAAGCTACAGACATACTTCATTAGCCTTGCGAAAAAACCTAAAATTAGCTGTAAAATATTATAGGCCATATAGAGTTTTGGAAAAAATCGAAGAAGTGGCCTATCGTTACCAGATTCATCACGACTCCATCTTGTTTTCCATGCGAGTCTTTTGAAAAAATTTATTGGGGATTCTTCCACTGTTGCAACGAACCCTCCTGCAATAGATGAAGAAGGACAGTTGAAGATTCAACCTTTAAAGATTTTGGCTAAACGTATAGTAAATAGAAACAATAAGCCAGTGACTAAGCTTTTGGTTCGATGGGAAAATCTGGATGATTCGAACGACACTTGGGAGGATTATTCGGTTTTAAAGGGACAGTTTTCTGGCTTCGATCCTTGGGGACAAGGATCTTCTCGTGGGGTGGGTATTGTTATGGTCGGAGAAGAGGAAGAACGGCGAGGAGAGAAGAATTTGGGAATGAACGAGAGATGAGAGGAATTGGGAATGGATGCGCTAGGGTTAGGGATTGAAAAACGTAATTTGGGAATTAAAGCACGAGGAAATCAGATGAGTATTTTACCTGGTGAAATGGAGCAGGCCTGGTGGATCAAAGGAGGGTGGGAGCGGCCCAAGCTAAACGGCCCAACAGTTGCTGAAGAGAAGAAATGAAGCCAATTACCATTCTGTTAGGAATCAGTTATTATTATCGCTAACTGGCATTTGTTATGAATTTTGTACTGCATTGTAACTAAATAAAATACCTGTTGTAATCATCTTTTGGTTATGAAATGAATGATGAAGAATTTCTTTCTGTAATCTCTTTCTCTTCTTATTCTAAAATCTCATTCTTCTTCGATATTTCTTCTCTATCTACACAATCCATAACACTGGTTCCCAATTTATCTTCTTGTTCCAAGAGAAATAAAAGGGTAGTAATACTATGCTAAATCACTCGCCATACTTTCAAACACTAAGCAACTTTAGCAGGATAATTGAATAGATTCTCTAACTTTAAGAAATAACATTGAAGCAATCTGCAACTCAACTTCAAGCTTCGGTTTTCTATTCCCCATCTCAGAAGATGCAACTAATTTAGCAGACCTTGCAAGCTAAACTAATGCAGTGTAAAATATACAAACACATACCACACCCATAAAAGAATTGCTATTAAGAATGTTAAAAGAAATAACCTGGCATACAATAGGAGATGAATCCAGATTAACTCATGATCTACAGCACATGTTGCTCTTCGCTGGAATTTCTTGTGCTGGACCTGGAATGATGATCTTCTTGCCTGCTAGAGATGCAGGGTTGCCGTTTCCCTGATTCTCATCGGTAACCAGGTTCTTCTTGTTCACGATGTTGAAGATCTCGGTGCGCACAGTCATGAAGGCAGTCTCCACATTAGTTGCTTCAAGGGTTGATGTCTCCAAGAAAAACAGTACTTCCTTTTGCGCGAATTCTTTGGTATCCTCCGTCGGAACTTCCCTCTGGTTCTTAACGTCACATTTGTTACCGATCAGAATAATAACAATGTTCTTGTCGGCATGGCTGTGCAACTCTTCCAGCCAACGTGGGATGTGATCAAAGGTCTGGCGTTTTGTTATATCGTAAACCAGCATTGCCCCGACGGCTCTCTCATAGTATACACTCGTAACAGCTTTGTATCTGTTCTACATAACATAAGAATTAGGCAAAAGTATTGGTTAACCTAAATGGCTAGATCATTGTACCAACACCTGTTTATATAACTCAATACTCATTAACTGTCAAGAGTTGGATTCAAATGCTTTAGGTTGAATGATGAAAAGATGACCAACCACTTATTTATTACCGTAAATTTTATAAGTTCGTGACTTCATCTCTAATTACCAAGAAGTTGAATGATTAAAAGATGACCAAACACTTATCTACTGCCGTCTAATTACCAAGAGATTGAATGATTAAAAGATGACCAAACACTTATTTACTACAGTAAATTTTATAAGTTCGCCCCTAGAGGTTGAATTATTAAAAGATGACTAACCACTTATTTACTGGCAAATTTTATACGTTCGTCCCTCTTTCCCTGATTACCAAGAGGTTGAATGATCAAAAGATGACCAAGTGAAGACCATCGACCCATTTATTTACTACCTAAATATCAGAAAGGATTGCAAATGGCTCAAATTCGACAAGAATGATAGAGATCATAACCCTGCTTACAAGCATCGCATGTTTAACACAGAACCATTAATATAAATACGCACTAACATTGAAAATGTGATGAGGTCAAGACTTAAGTAGAAGACGATGCTTTGTGCCAAACTATTTCATCTTAAACAGAGACAAAAGTGACACCATCAACAAGTAGAGCATTAAGATCGAACTGAGGTTCCTATTGTACCATGTAAATTTTCATCAACCCAATCAATAGTAATCACATAATTCATCTGTCAAGCATTCGAACCGATGTTCCTAAATACAACCAAACCTCATCAGTACACAGTAAATCGAGCAATCAAACAACATTTTCCAAGCTTATAAATATGTCAGCAAACTACAGATCTATGAGAAAACAAGAAAAGAAGAAGCTACATATAAAATGAAAAAAAAATCCAGAAAGCTATCACCAAAAAGGAGAAACAAACAAATCATTATGAAGAGAGAAAAAAAGCATAAAAAGAAAAGGTACCGTTCTTGACCAGCAGTGTCCCAGATCTGAGCCTTGACGCTCTTGTGTTGAATAACAAGAGTTCTAGTCCGAAACTCAACTCCAATGGTAGCCCTGGAATCTAAACTAAACTCATTTCTAGAAAACCGAGCAAGAATCTGAGATTTACCCACGGCAGAGTCGCCGATCAAAACTCATTTCTTGAAGACATAGTCGCCTAGGGTTTACGAGGTATAAAATATCGATTCGTAGTCGATTGACCGTTGAACGATCACGATTTTATAGGGGTTTTGGTCGTCAGGGGAGGTGAGATCGGGTGGAGCTTCGTCGACGGAAAAGGATGATGTCGACATGGGTTTAGGAGTTGAAATGAAGATTTTTAAAATTTTGGGGTTATTTCAAAATTTATATATATATTTTAAAAAGAGAAAATCGCCTCAGTGACCAAAAATGCCTTATAATATACGATTTTAACCAACTTTTTTTTGATTTGCCAAAATGACCAACAAAATCGCAACGCGATATCAAAACCGCAACGCGATTTAGAAAAGCGCAACGTTGAAAAGAAGATCGCAACGCGATTCAGAAAATCGCAACGCGATCTTCCAAGAATCGCAACGCGATTAAGAAAATCGCAACGCGATTCCAAGAATCGCAACGCGATTTAGAAAATCGCAACGCGATTCCAAGAATCGCAACGCGATCCAGAAAATCGCAACGCGATTCCAAGAATCGCAACGCGATTTAGAAAATCGCAACGCGATTCCAAGAATCGCAACGCGATCCAGAAAATCGCAACGCGATTCCAAGAATCGCAACGCGATCTTCCAAGAATCGCAACGCGATTCAGAAAATCGCAACGCGATCTTCCAAGAATCGCAACGCGATTCAGAAAATCGCAACGCGATCTTCCAAGAATCGCAACGCGATTAAGAAAATCGCAACGCGATCTTCCAAGAATCGCAACGCGATTAAGAAAATCGCAACGCGATTCCAAGAATCGCAACGCGATTCAGAAAATGAGTAAATTCTTTCAAAAGTTGTTGCATTTGTTTCTTTCTTAAGAATTTTCTCTAAAAAGATAGTATCCGCGCGGACGTGTCGAAGACACGTATTACCACGACCACGACCACGACCACGACCACGACCACGACCCGACCCGAGACGAGACGGCGGCGGCGGCGGCGCGCGAGAGTCCCCCTTGTTCTCTTTCACTCAACAAGGAAATGGGAAATCCAAGCCTTAAATACTTCCCAATAGTGTTTCCAATACTATGTGGGATTGAGCATTACTCAACACTTCAAAGAAATATAGCAATTTTTGTAGTATTTTCCCACTTAATCCATATCTAAAAATATTAAAACATTTTATCAAGAGAATTAAAAGAGTTGTAGATATCTACATTTCAATTCAAACTTATACATATAGTTTTAATATGATAAAATGTTTTAATATTTTTAAATATGGATTAAGCGGGAAACATGCTACAAAAATTGCTATATTTTCTTTGAAGTGTTGAGTAATGCTCAATCCCACATAGTATTGGAAACACTATTGGGAAGTGTATTTAAGGCTTGGATTTCCCATTTCCTTGTTGAGTGAAAGAGAACAAGGGGGACTCTCGCGCGCCGCCGCCGCCGCCGTCTCGTCTCGGGTCGGGTCGTGGTCGTGGTCGTGGTCGTGGTCGTGGTCGTGGTCGTGGTCGTGGTCGTGGTCGTGGTCGTGGTAATACGTGTCTTCGACACGTCCGCGCGGATACTATCTTTTTAGAGAAAATTCTTAAGAAAGAAACAAATGCAACAACTTTTGAAAGAATTTACTCATTTTCTGAATCGCGTTGCGATTCTTGGAATCGCGTTGCGATTTTCTTAATCGCGTTGCGATTTTCTTAATCGCGTTGCGATTCTTGGAAGATCGCGTTGCGATTTTCTGAATCGCGTTGCGATTCTTGGAAGATCGCGTTGCGATTTTCTGAATCGCGTTGCGATTCTTGGAAGATCGCGTTGCGATTCTTGGAATCGCGTTGCGATTTTCTGGATCGCGTTGCGATTCTTGGAATCGCGTTGCGATTTTCTAAATCGCGTTGCGATTCTTGGAATCGCGTTGCGATTTTCTTAATCGCGTTGCGATTCTTGGAAGATCGCGTTGCGATTTTCTGAATCGCGTTGCGATCTTCTTTTCAACGTTGCGCTTTTCTAAATCGCGTTGCGGTTTTGATATCGCGTTGCGATTTTGTTGGTCATTTTGGCAAATCAAAAAAAAGTTGGTTAAAATCGTATATTATAAGGCATTTTTGGTCACTGAGGCGATTTTCTCTTTTTAAAATATATATATAAATTTTGAAATAACCCCAAAATTTTAAAAATCTTCATTTCAACTCCTAAACCCATGTCGACATCATCCTTTTCCGTCGACGAAGCTCCACCCGATCTCACCTCCCCTGACGACCAAAACCCCTATAAAATCGTGATCGTTCAACGGTCAATCGACTACGAATCGATATTTTATACCTCGTAAACCCTAGGATTAAAATCACAATCTCACGCGATTTCGACGGTCAATCGGCCAAAACTACGGCGGCATATAACTAGGATGATGACAGAGACTATGTCGGCGGCTGTGGTCATAACCAGAAAGGACGGCGGTAGGAGTTGATGTTAAGATTTGAGGATTTTAAGGATTTTGAGGTTTTTGTACAATTTAAAAGAAATTGGAGTTTTTTTTATAATTATGATATTTTTTTAATTTATTAAAAAATAAATTTCAAAATTATTAAATTGTGAACCGTTTCACCTAGAAGAAAACTAAAGACTTTACGTCTTAGACACCTAAAGTAGTTACGTTTGTAACGTTAAATACCTGAATAGTCTAAAAAATATTGTAGGCATCCATTTGAATAAAAAATGAACAGTTTGAGCAATTATTTGAGTATTAAGCCTAATCTAAATCATTGATGAGCAAGACGGGAAGAAAATTTGTTAATTACTATCAAGGAAAACGGGAGGATTCTGTGTATCCGGGTTCAGAGTAAATAAGAAACAGTTATCCAATAAATATCAGACATTCTTCACTGACTAAAATAATTGCTTGATTTAAAGATGGGTAGATTACAAATTTCCTCACTAATCTTTATTTTATCTCCTATTTTACTAACTAAACGTTAAAAAATTTTAATTTAATCATAAACTTTCGACATTGAAATTTTTTTTATAACTCAACTGTTATTTCTCTAACTTTATGTTGACTTAACATTTTATTATTATTTTAATTGGTTTGGCATTTTTTAATTAATTCTTTTAGCTGCATAGGCACCAAAACGTTTTGGTCACCATTTTTTATAACCAATCACCATGTAGACCATCGTTGTTGGCGATTATTATATCCAAAATTTTTAAATCACCTATTTTGATACCATGAATCCAAATCCTAAAGAGAATTAGCCTTTCGACCATTGCCTTTGATTCCACAATCCATTTCATCTCATAAATACGTGAAACCCAGATCCTAGAATAAATCATATAATCACCATACATAAATCTGAAACAAAAATGCAAATATAATTCTAGAATTCTAGAATTATATAGAAAAAAAATTTAAAACATGATGCTCTAATGACTTTTCCAATCTGTTAAATTAATGATAAAAAGAATTGCAGAGGGGTTTTTAAATTCATTAATATTTTAATTGGGTTTTATTTTTTTTAGCATAAAATTCAATAAAACTTTCTCTTTGATATAAACAATTTACATACTTTCAATACATATAGTAGAATCGGAAAGCATTTTTTTGGGTTCGTGAAGCTTAGATGATTTGTTGGACGATCCCAACGGTGAGAGGGCAAAGGAGACGACAAAGAAGCACATATTTTAGAATCGACACAATCTAACGGTGAATGGTGGATATCGAAAAACTAGAAATACAATATTTAATAATTGTGGAGTTTAAGATTTTTTTGGGTTAAACGGACCCAAATTCGAGCTTAGAAGGATGAAATGAATTTGATGAAAGATTTTGGGTCTCATCGATCGTCGTCACGACGATCGTCGACACGGTAGTTGGTCATGATGAGTGGTGGTCGCATATTGAGAAGATAGAGAGAAAATGATGGAAAAAGAAAAGAACAAAAGAAGGAAATGAAGAAAAAAAGAAGAAGAGAAAATATGATTTTATATGAGATTCAAAACTATGTCGTTTTGATGTAAAATTTATTTTTTTTTCAAAATGACATCGTTAAAGATATTATTAAGGAAAACAACTTGATATCGCTAAAGTAGGTCTCGAGTTCGAGACATTGTACATGCAGAAAATCCTCGTTTGGAGACTCATCTATCAAAGTCATGTGTGCAACACGGATCAATTCAGATTAGTCAAGGAAAGATCATGAGTAATTGAAATTATTATACTTAAAGATCTTGAGTTTGAATATGCCATCTCCAAGATATATGAACGTTTATTGTCAAATGATTATTTTTTTAAGAATTAAATTAATAAAATATTATGGATTAATTTTTATATTTAAAATAAAAAATAAAACTTAAAGATTAAATTTATTATTATGTTAAATCCATTAATTATTACATCATTAAAAGTAAAAAAATAAATGAATTTGTCTCTTTGTAAACAATTAATTTAATAAAATAATATATTAAATGTAAAAAAAAAATCAAAAATTGATATGCTTTATTGACTTATTTCTTATGTTTCTCTCTTTTGGGTTATCAACCTTTTGTGGACGTTGGCCTTTGGCCCGTTTCTTTTTAACTCTGGGTCTGTTGGTTGTGTAATCTTCCCGCTGTCATGGGCTTTTTACTGAGAAAGAGAGAGACGGTTGTCACGTGCCTAGATTGCTGCTAGCAAGCTCGTGCGGACTTAGTCATTTTCAAGGTCGAAAATCGGCTAAGTAACCCAAATCCCGACTAAGCAAGAAAGCTTAGAACGTTGCAAAAACAAAGGAAATTAGGGAAAGTAAAGATATATGCACACAAAAGGAAAAAGAGAGCGTTTAGAGTGAATGTTAACTTGTATTCCTCAATCTGAAGTGAGTAAATGAGGTGGGGTGAGCCTCTTTTTATAGTTGGAGCCCCATACAATCAACGGTTAAGATTAAATTACATCAATGGTCAGGATGAGAGCCCTACTTTATCTACAACTTTAAATTAAGGGATAATTAGTGGGAATTATCTCTAAGATAATTTCAAATAATTATAATACTTTTTCTCTCTCCAAGATGGATGGGCCAGCTCTGTTGGGTCTTCTAAAAGGCCCAAAATGTGGCAAAGATGGTCTCCGGCAACCTTAGACGAACTAGGATCGGTCTTGGGCTAACAGTCCGTGATATTCTCCCCTACTAGTT